TTAGATAGCCAATGTTCATCCTTCTCATGGCTAGCCATGGTGGTAACCAAGTCAGCTGTTCAAACTGCATGGAAAAATCCTTCTGAACACAAAATTTAGACTGAATTAAGTTGTCCTCTTAATGTCATGATGATTGTTTTTGTTTTTAATCCTTTTTTTGTATATTCATACTTGCAATTGTATAGAACTGAACAAAATGGACAAGTGAATTTGCTGTGAATCAAGTGAGAGGACAATGTACTTTTAATGCAGTGAGTCATAATATGGCTAGAAATAGTCCCTAACAAGTGCATACTATTTTGTGTATCAAAATAAAAAATAAAAAGTTTTACATAACCAAGAACTTAAAATAATGAACAGTAGCATTAGTTCCAACTTATTGTTCAACAAAAGTCTGATGAGAGAAATGTGATTTTTTTGGCCGGGCACATTGATTCCATCACTATCCAGAATCTCTGCTGCTTCAGTAACAAAACTCCATCTGATGGTTGAACTCATTAATTTATGGACAGCATCATTTTTCTGGTTTTAATATTTCAAAATCATGGAAGGTAAGATAATTAATTTCCATAACTATTCATGTGAAATTCCAGCACGTCACAAGCATGGTTTAACATGAAAATGAATAGGGCACAGTAACTGCTAACATATGAACTTCTTTCCACTTAATTTTGATGTCCCAGGGCATGTAGAACTGTTGATGTCTTTGATGAATACCTTGATGAATTTATTAATTCTCTTGATGAGAGCATAACATTATGTGGACCAGCAAGAGCAAGATTTATACTCACATTTAGTATAAAACACAGAGTACACATTTACAAAAGATGCAGACAGTTATCTAAATAATGGTGGGTGAGTGGCATACATTTAGGAATGAAAGAAGTAAGTCACACATGGCAGATGTTTTCAGCCAGAGACAAAAATGACACATCAAATATGCCAAAGTCTCATAGGTAAAACATTGTCTCACATCTCAATATTTAACATCACATAATCTTAACACATTAATTGGACAATGTTTATGCATGCAAAACTCCATTCACAATACCTTTAAGGTATTACAACATAGTGAACTGTATCATGTTTTTCAGACATTGTTTCATGCTATTTCATTATCATTATTAGTGTTATTATTGGAAAAGGAATGTAGTTCTTAATAGAGCCTAGTATTTTGGTTTGTTGAGTTAGGTATTACAGTATGTGTGTATGTGTATGTGTGTGTGTATTTAATAAGTTTTTAGTCATATACCTACAATGTCTGCAGTGTGGCAGTTTATATTGATGTCTAGCACTGCAACATCATACCACAGACATGTAGCATGATGTCCCACCCAGTCACATTATCCTGACACCAGATCAACCAGTCCTAACACTAACCTCTTAATGCTAAATGCCAAGCGAGGCAAATGATAGTACCATATTTGTTACTCTTTGGTATGACTCAGCCAGGTATCAAACTCATGACCTCCTGCATCTGAGGTGGATGCTAGGCCATTGGAGCAGTCTGAATGTATGTTTGGATGGATGTATGTACACAAGATTTGGCAATTCATAGCTGTGCAGAAATAATAGATGAGAGGGTTCTTACATCTTTCAAATAGTGAACCAGTATGCTTTGACCTAATTCTAAGTGTATATTTTTTTTTCCATTAAGAAAAGCAACAATTACAAATAATGGGGTGGGGGTTAAGGCATTTTAAGACATTATTGTCTTTAATATTACAAGGAAATGGGAGCTAAATGCCTTTTCCACGGAAAGAGGCAGCTGTCCTGACTGGCCTGGACATGTATGGAACCCACAACCATTTGTTTATTAGTCTTAGACACTCTGCTGAGTTACCCAGGCTCGTACTAAGCAAAATAAAGGTGTCAAGTAAGTTTATGTATTACAAAAAAGACAGACCAAAGACAGTCAAAAAAGGGTAAAATCCTTAAAAATGTAAAGTCCCTGTTTTGATTCAAGCTCACTTGTTTTTTAAAAGCCTGATCCTTCTCAACTGGAACATCATCATAAAACACATGAGTAAGGACAACATTCCAGTGACCAGTGATTAGAATGTCTGCCTTGGATGTAGGAGGTCACAGGTTCAAACCCTGGCTGAGTCATACCAAAGACTTGTAAAATATGCTACTTTGTGCAAACCATCTCTTTTGTTTGACGAAGTTGGTGATAACCTCTATAGTAGTGAACAGGTTATAATATGCTTCAAGTAATACTCGCACACTTCAGGGTCTAGAGGTAGATTGGGAAATGTTTCAGTTGATTTTCAAATAAAAAATTTACTCTTGATCTTTCTGAAAAATGTGGTGCCCCAGTCTTTTTCTTTACAGAATACTTCAGCATTTGTTGGGGATACAGTACCAGCAAGTTTGCTGAATCCTTAGTGGGTTAAGAAACCATTGTTTGATAATGCTTGCAATGACTCAGATTTCTCAGAGATAAATGTAGAGAAAAAAGCCTGGATTTAGCAAGAGTCATGGCAAATGTGGATTGGGGAGCATACCCAGCTGCCTTCGTGTATGGCCTTGGGTAAGGCACTTTACACCTGTTGTTTTGGCACTAAGTAACCTACTTGTGTTGCTGTGCTGCATATCCAGGCCCCAAACCTATGTCAGCACATCAAACAAGTCATTGGAAAGTGGCATCCTTCAAGTAGAACAGATTTCAGAGATGAGGTCTAATTTTGCTGATTGCATATCAGATACAAATAACTGATTCAAAATGTTGACATTATTTTGGACTTCTGATTATGGTAAACATCCCAGAGCAAAATGACTGTCTGCATTAGTTGCCTTTATGACATTCAGTGGGGCAGTCTGAATGATTCTGCAGCCATGCGTGAGAATGATGTTTTGTTGTATACTATTTAGAAATTCTAAGTGGCCATCTTATGTCTTGTATCAGTTGTTAGTGTATTCATCTATCCACCCATTTGACTCTTTACTGGATCCCGCTCAGATGGTAACCCCAGCCATTTTTTTATGTCCACCACATGGTAATGCATAAATTTTATCATATGAAGTTGCATTTCCATCCCTCTGTTAACAGTTTCAATTCTGCACAGTTACTCAAATTGTGCTCCTTTTTCAGTTACCACTCATGGTGGATGGTTTGCAATTCGTGTCAAAGCCACACAGAATAACTGAAGATAAATGATCTCTGCAGAAATAAATTTTTACACAATCAACAATTACCAAACATATGGAATGGTTTGCAGTTGGGGTAAGAAACAAATATATCGAATTTGGGTTTCAAAGGGTAGGGTCAATGTTGTTGAGAGAAGAAAAATAGTATTGCACAATAACCTGATTTCTCCATGATTGACGGTTATTGAACTTTGTGTGTGGGTAAGGAAGAACCTATCAATTTCATGACCAAAAGGTCAAAGGTCCTGATCTATAAGAAGAAACGTTATATATTTCAGACTTTGGCCTGACTTTATGGACATCTTTTAGTTGGGTTAAGAAAGAAATCTGGTGACTTAAGGAAAGTAGGTAAAATTCATAGGTTCCACTGATTGAAAGAATAAAAATGGTTTTGGCACAGAAAATTTAAGTGTATGTACCTTCAACAAAGTTTGTGGGTAACTTGCATGTTTTTGTTTAGAAAAAATCTGTTGAATTTGATTGGTACTTTTTACCTCGCTAGAAGCATTGGTACATACCATCTTGCACAAAATCTTGTTGGCAGCTATTGTAATTTTTTGTGAATTGCCATGAAACCTGGTAAATACTATGGTCATCACCTGAAAATGTGTTTATAGACAAATCACTGCTCCTAAAATTTTTTCTCTTTTGGTTATACACCAGAAGAGCTTTTGGCTGACCTTTACTATAACTGCCACAGTGGCCATCTTGAAAATGTTGTTCTTTCTGATCTTTGTAAATGGATAGTGGTATCAAAATCAGGTTTTTGCCAAAAGACTTTTTGTGATATGTAGCTGGATCTCAGTGTAATGGTATTGATTTGAAGTCAGTGTGTCCACCATTGCTACCGCCTTTATTACTCTTTTTATGGCTGCTTAGTGGAAAGTCTTTTCAGGTTTTGCTTTTCCACATCTAAATCAGTCAACTGCTGACAGTAATTATTAGCAATCTTGAATTTTGTTTCTTTAATTTACAGATACCACCCATTACCAATATGGCACTTATTATTATCCATGCATTTTAAAAGAAAATCTGAAATTGTGATACCATTTGTCCGCATGTAAATATGGTTGTATGTGTGTGATGCCCATGAACTTGTATACACTGGGATGATTGATTATTCATATGTAACTCATGTCAGTGATAGGTCTGTTGGTGTAGATTTTGCTAAAACTTGCACTTTCTTAATAACCCTGTTGGTGGTTAGTGGGGATAATTGAACAAGGGGTGATTTTTGTATGTGCAAATAGCTTTTTAATTGTATATCTTTTATGTTTGAGAATTGGCTTATGTGATTATTGACTAGAGTGTTGTCATGTTTCAAATTGGACTGCTAAGTGATGCCCTGGTGTCTATCCTTGCCTAAGATATTAGCTATTTGATCACAGTATAGAAGTTTCCAACCCCATAACCACATATACATTTACTAGCTGGGGATGAACAAACTAGACAAATTTGTCTTTTTAACGACATTTGCTTTTGGGGCAGTGGATGTCCACAGTGACTTGTCCAAGAGGCTCAGACCATGAGCTTTTGTTCAAATAAAGGAATTGCAAAGAATAGTCACTACAGGGGGAAAACTAGACTTGAATTTTATATTTATAGACAACATGATGAAGCAATAAAATTGATATATGAATGAACTAGATCCTTGCCAAAAACGATAGATACAGCCAACATGTGAGTCTGTGTTTAGAAACAGTGTGTGATTCGGATTTTCAACTTAGCTTGAACAATTTTTCAGTCATATCACTGGGGTGTCATGCCACAGACATGTAGCATAATGTCCCACCCAATCACATTATCCTGACACCAGGCCAACCAGTCCTAATACTAACTTCTTAATGCCATGACTCTGCCAGGGTTCGAACCTGCGACCTCCCACATCAGAGGTGGACATTCTAACCACTAGGCCACTGGAGCTGTCTGTTTAGAAATATCGATTTTCTTAATATAACCATTGACTTTTTAGGTATGTTACAACATTTTATAATGATAGGATTGCAACTTTTTTGTTTTATTATTTGTTCGTGTACATGTGAAAATGTTACTCATTGGTTAAACTGTATTTACCTAACTGCATTTTTCATATTTTTACAAAAATGAGTCAAAAAACAACCTTGACCTTAAGTTACAGTGCTTCTCGAATTCAACAACATGGCATTGTCCCATATATTTTTGACCTATATGATTACATTTTTAGGCACAGTCTTGTATCACATAGTATTTATACTTTGGTTTTCTATGAATTTTATATTTTCCTCAATATATTTACTGAATAATGTACAAAAACAGACAGTCTAATGAAGTGATACTTCCGAGATATAGCACTGTTATGAAGAAAACGACAGAAGAAGCAGTTAAAATTTTCCATTTTTGTATAAGTTAGAAATTGATTTTACATATTCTTCTCTTAATACAGAAATTGCTATTTGCATATTAACATTTAATTTTTGAAATCAAGTTTTCATCATCAGATAATTAATTACAGAAAGTAATCAGTGATGATTTCCTTGGGAAAGGGTTATTGGCCAGTCTGCTATCAAAACACTTGCCTGTGATTGTAAAAGAGTTTTTTGTTGGTGCATTTGATAATGACACCAACTATGTGATGCATCCAATTCATTTCATTTTGAGCACTGGAACTCTGTGGTTATGGTCAGAGAGCATCTCAAAAGTAAAAACTAAAATATGTGTATATATATATATATATATATATATATATATATATATATATATATATATATATATATATATATATATATATATATATCACACTAATGTGATTTTGATTGGTAGATCTTGTCTAGTTGTCAGGATAAAAAAATAAGATCATTCAGACTCAGTATCATCTACAGATCTCTATGCAGATGACACAACATTGTCAGACATCCAAAACACAAAGCAAGAACTCAAAATTTCTTTACAGAATGCCCTAAACAAACTGTACAACTGGTGCACATGCAATGGCATGGTGGTTAATACAGGTAAAAGTAAAATATTACTTATCTCAACACCAAAGAAAAGAACAAAACTTGATTGTGATGAACTATGTCTGACATGGAAGGATAAAAGGTTGCAAATGGTCTGTCACAATAGTCTACTTAGTGTTTTGGTAGATAATATCCTATCATGGACTGAACATATCAAACATACAGTAAAAAAGTCAATTCAAGTTTATGGCATCTCAGTAGGATAAGACACTTTCTCCCAGGAAAAGCACAGAAAACTATTTTATAACAGTTACATACAACCCTATTTAGACTACTGTAATACAGTATGGGGAAATTCAAATGATAAAAGCTTTTGAGTTAATATCAATCCAGAAAGAAAGCAAGGAAAATTTAGCTGGTAAGTTAAAAATATTACCTATTAAAGACCAAATTTGTTTAAGAAAAGCCAAATTAATGTACAGGATATCCAATAATAGTGCTCCTGAATATTTACAATCACTATTCAAATATAGGCTACCTGGAAATACTCCTCACCTGCGATCAATGTCTACCAAACATTATGAAATTCCCAAACCAAAAAAGGAATTATTTAAAAAAGTTTCCAATACTCTGGAACTTTACTCTGGAATAGTATTCCAGTTGAGATTAAAAATGCCCACTCTATTTCCTTTTTCCAAACCCAGTATATACAGTGACTTCAGAGATGCAGCAAAAATAAGTAAATTCCTTTGAATGAGGGCCTCAAGGTAGATTAGTTCTTAGGTAATTGAGTTACCCTCTTTAAATAAAGTCATAATAAAAAAAAAAAAAAATGAGATGTGAAAATTTGACTTTTATGATGCAATGAGATTATATTTTTCTTTATATACCGTTAATTGTTAGATAAAAAAGTAAAATTTGAAAAGAAAACTTGAAAACAAATTGGTCTTGTAATGATTCCATATGTTCTGATGCAACATGATGTGATCTAACAATCTTAAGAATGCATTACTGGAATAATACATATATAAAAAAGGAAAATTTATCATTGCTGTATTACATGATAGTTTAATTCAGCAAAATAAAAATGCCATTTTAGCTGCTAGCCATCAGGTCGTCATTAAAATAATGTTATAATGTCACAACAATGCAATGTCATAATTAATTTCAAATGATGTGATGTCAATTCAGCCAGTGAAAAAGTACTATTCATGGGAAATTGTATTTAATAATACATGTAACTGTGTTGTTCTCCTAAGAGAATTCCTTGTTTAATAATGAATCCATCTCCAAATTTTACACAATTGAGGTAGTTTTTAGTGTAGGAAAGTCTCATTTAATCCTAAGCTCACCTTTACTCCATTTAATAAATTTATTTGACAGATCCCTTGTCTCATTGTGGGATGTTACATATAATATAGGTGTGACTTGGAATAATTACATTTCACATAAGCTGTTTTGTTACATAATGACATGCAACATTTGAAACTTCAGCCATCCTTCTTGTATCATGCTAGTTGAAAATTAGGTAACCAGTCCATCTAGTCAATTAGATTTTTAGGTATCTAAAGTAAATTTGATCAATAAATTGTGGACTGAGTATTTTATTATATTAAGAAATGTGAAAAATAAATTTCAATATATTGTTTCTTTTGACCACTTGTGAATATAGAGCATAGCAATCCGATCTGCTGGGTGAGATGAAAAGGGAAATAACTCAGACAATTGAACCTTTAGTTAAATAGTCTTTTACATCCATGTCATTGGTCCTCAAATCGTGAGTTGCATCCCACTTGTGGGCTTTAGGATTTGCTGTAAGTGATTTATTAGCCATACATAAAATACTGGAAGTGAGATGTGGGTGCAGAATGTTTGGTTTTTGTGTTATTTATTGATACATGCTACTTCTGATGTGAAAATGTAGAGATATTTGAAGGCCTGAAAACCACCTTATATTAAAAAACCAAAAACAAGAGAGGAAAAAAGAACTATTGCAAAGAAATATATCACTAACAAATGAATGGAAATGCAACTTTTATAAAAATGAATCAGCTAGTTCAGCTCACATTGATGCTCATCAGCCAAACTGCTCAGACTGCCATATGTAAAGATATTGAAACTTCATCCGATAACAAGGTAATAGCATAGGTCACCAGAACATAACCCTAAGTGGTCACTGTTAGATATTCACATAGGATGGTTGAGATCTGATTTAAATCAGATTGAGATAATGTGGTAATATTTATTTGGGAGTTGGTAGAAGACCATGTATCGGTGCATAAATTTACATGTATAAGGAAATTGTCAGCTGAATATTGTAAATAGAGTCTGTGTACTAAGCAACTAATTTCATTGTATCTGTAATATTAAGTCACTTGAAAATGGGCACACACACTAACTTACGAAACACTGTATTTTCCCAAACATTCATATATGTCCAGAGAAACTGATCTTTGACAATCAATACTACCACTCTATCAAGCCATGCACATTAATTAATTTTTACGAGTTAGAAATAGGCATCAAATAAACTAAATACTTACTAGGGTAGGGATGAAATGATTGATCAGTATATCAATACATCATTGCTTTTTCCATATCAAAACTATATCGATACAATAGATTAAAAAAAAATCCAAAGATATAATTCACATTAATTCAGTGTATTGTATTGTCTGTTAAAATAAATGTTTTAAACTTGGTATTCCGACTAACAATTGTAAATGAATTAATCACATCAGCTCCTTTCAAACTCTTTCAAACTCTTAAGAATGAGCAATTCTGCATTTTGCATTGCTTATATAAAAAGATATATTAGGTTGATATCACAATACCAATATATTCTAGATTATGATTTCAGGCTTTCAGTGAATCATTAGAACATTTTGAAATAATTTATTTACAGTGAACAAGCTTTTTCCAATTTTTATTAATATGACTACCTAAACAAACCAGCTTGTATCAATGTATGGTTTGTCTTAGCAATAGCGTGGCATTTAGCATTTAGATTAATATAATCGGCCATCGTTGCAGTGGATTAAATTTTAACAATCAATGAACTTTTCTAAAACCAAAGTGTGTACTGCTTATTTCTAATTACATTTGTCACGAGACAGCTTAGCCCCTTCATGTGCCTATGCAAGTGCCTATGAGTATATCATCATAAAGAAGTTTCTCATCATGAAAAAGTTTCTCATTATAAAGAAGTTTCATATAAGGATAAAAGCACTGCATATAAAGAAGTTTGTACAATCATATAAGGACGAAAGCACCACATACTGTATAAAGAATTTTGCAGATCATACAAGGACAAAAGCACCATATACAAAGAAGTTTGCACATTATATAAGGACAAAAGCACCACATATAAAGAACATTGCATGTCATATAGGGACAAATGGATAGCATATAAAGAAGTTTGCACATCATATAATAAAAGTTGTCATCTTAAGACAGCCCTGGTATTACATAGAAAATGGTGCTACATATCTACAGCATAATGCCCCAGTGCTAGACATCACTGTAAACTGCCACACTGCAGACATCATAGTAATATAAATGTTAAAACTCTTAATCACACACTAACACACACACACATACACACACACAGACACACACACACACACACACTTTGTAGTACTTTTGAAGAATTTGCTGTAATTATTGTAAAGTTTCAAGAGCCATGACATGCCTGCTGTATCTGAATAAATGTTTTAATGAAGCATGTTATAGCAGGTTTTTCTATGTTTTGATATCTATGGATGAATGAATGTTTCACTTGCAGATTTAATGACTGGGCCAATACACAATGAATCTTGAGCACTGAAATAAGCCTATTTGTACATTTCTTGGATTGTTTCTTATATTTTGGAGTTTTGACAAATGTGGTGAAGAGACACATGTATATATGACTGTGTCGTACTTTTTGTTTCTACCAAAGATGTTCCAATTTACTGTAAATCAGTAAACTGTGACAAGCCCATGTTTAAAGATG